TTTTCGGGAATCGACGTAGTTATGCCTAAAACGGGCAGTAATGCAAAAAAAATTTTGGTACGCCTTTATGGCACCCAGGGTACCTACCGGGAGCCATACCGGGAGCCTACCGGGAGCCATAAGGGCGTACCAAAAAATTTATTTTTCGGGAAACAACGTATTTTTACTTGAAACGCGTAGAAATGACGAAAAAAAATTTTTTTCAAATTTGAAATTTTTTGGTACGCCCTTATGGCTTCCGGTATGTACCCTGGGTGCCATAAGGGCGTACCAAAATTTTTTTTTGCATTTCTGCCCGTTCCAGGCATAACTACGTCGATTCCCGGAAAATAATTTTTTATACGCCCTTATGGCTTTTCAAGGGTATTTTTTTGAAGATGCGCCCTTATGGCATCAGTAACGCGATTTATTTGTAACGTGAGAACTTGAAAATTTAGAAAAAAAAATCTTAGATGTAAAAAAAAAATCATTATGATGCACAATGACGATAAAAATTACTGCACAGTAAAAAATTTTTCGTCAATGTTCAAAGCGTAAAAATTTTTGTGTAGCAAATTACACTTAAGTGTGTAGAATTTTACATTCTCATGTGTTGATTTAGCCCACTAGAATGTAAAATTAAAATTAGTTTGTGTAAAAACAGTCAGTAACACAAATATTTGTGTTAAATTTGCCGAAAATTTCTTTACTGTATGTAAAAAAAATTAAAAAAAAAAAATTTTTTGTTTTTTAATTAAAAAAATTTTTTTCCTCTGAAATTGTAGGAAATAACGTTAAAATATATTTTAGAAAGCTAAAAGAGCTTTTTGGAAAAAAAAATTTTTTTTACGAAATTTTGGGGGTACCTCATTTTGCCACCCCTACCCCATTTTGCCCCCCCCCCTAATGCTTTAAATAGGTATAGTGCTTTCATAGTGAGTATATGCAGGTGAAATGTGCTCTGCCTAACTTTTCGCTTTCTCGCGTTCTCGGTCTCTGTTAATTATAACGGTGTGATAGTTGAGTTGCTAAATTTTTTATTTAGTGATGGCATCAATAAAAGAGGTTTTTCCGGCTAGTAATCATTAATTATATTGTGTTTTCGTTCTGCTTATGCCAGTTTATGGTTAGACTAATATTTTGGTAATTGGTTAGTGCTGACATCTTATGTCGAGGACAGAAATGCCTACAGATTATTGTGGTATATGCTGTCGGCAAATAAGTGATCTGAGTCAGGCTGACACTACAGGCGCGGAATGTAAACATAAATTCCATCAGCTATGTGTAAGAATTCGATTTTGCTTGGCTGCAAAATCTGCTGTGAAGAATTTCATTGCAAATAAATGTCCGGTATGTCCACCTCGTTCGGCTCCTCAGGTATCTCAAGATTCAAATTCGGTGCTTGCTGAAATTAATAAAAAGTTAGAATTATTGACTACTATGGATGTCAAGATTAATGATTTGTCGCAGCGTTTAACAAGTATTCAGGATAACTACGTGTCACGAGAGGGACGAGTTGCAAAATTGGAATCTGGAAGTATTAGTGTTGCTTCAGCTGCTGGTGATGATTTGGTCAAGCAAGTTGCGGAACGAATTAGCACTGCAACCAAAAAGACCACTGATCTGAGTACGGAGATTTGTCAGCTTGAAATGGAGACTAGGATGCTTAGTGACCAGTTTGTGATTTCTGGACTTGCGGAGCAGTCTTCGGAAAATTTGGTGCAAACAACAATTAGACTGGGCTCGATGATTGGAATTGCTGATCTTGTTGGTGATCAGATTCAATATGCTGAGAGAATTGGGAAGAAAAGAGGCTCTGCTCGGGACATTCTTGTTAAGTGCAAGTCGCCATCGCTTGTTGGCAGGTTTTTGTCGGCAAAGAAAAATTATAAATCTTTAACAGCCAATGTAGTTAACCCAGGATCGAGTAATGTACCTATTTTCACCAGCAAGAGGTACCCTTCAGCATTATACAAGTTGCGGCAATCGTTAATTAAGAAATATCCCACTATTGATAAGAGAAGTGTCTGGATTGCTAGCTCCTGTGTTTGTGTGTATATAAAAGATATCACTGATCCAATTAAAGTCTATCCGTCGACGGATTTGGAAAGCGTTCCAAATCTATCAGCATAATGTTTAAATATTGACTCTTCGCAACAAAATGGGGCATGTTCAGTAGGGTGATTCATTTCCGCAAAATTTTTTTTTTTTTTCGGTGCTCATGAAAAATATTAATCTACATATAGAAAAAAAAATTCCTACCAAGTTTGAGCTCTTAATATTAATTTTAAGTACTTACAATAAAAATTTGAAGTTTTACCATTTAAAATGCATGTAAAAAAATTTTTTTTTTTTCAAATTTCTAATGCTTAGCCGGCTTTTACAATATTGCAAATCGGTGTGATGGTGGACCTTGTGGGGAATTTCACACTCTTCAAAAAAGACTTAAAGTTTTTTTGTGTAACTCGTACTGGTTCACCGGTAGGAGTCGTCAAAGTACAATTTTTGAAAAAAATATAATTTCTTTTAATTTCTCGAGCAAATCACCAATGGTAGGAAGAAAAGAAGGACTGACTCATAAAAAAAAAGTCATCCAACCAATATTTAATAAATTTACAGCCATTTTTATAGCGGGAAACGTAAGAAATTGATAAATACTAACTCATAATGTTATGTAGATTAATTTTTTCTATTTATCGCCATTATATTTCCCTACACTACAAATTTTTTTTAAATTATTATGATTTCTCACCAA